GAAGCGGGTATACACAGTGTGGAGACTGTCCAAGAGGTTGCATGTAGCCTGTTTCTAACAGGGTCACTGCTAAGCTGCACCAAAACTGAATTAACTGCGCAGAGCTCCTGGGGAATCTCTGCACTGAGATCTCACATCTCACAATACCTGCATGATGTCTGTTTTCCATTACCTGACCTATCCCAGTTCCTCGTTATCCTGAATAATACACCTAACTGCTCATATATGACAGATTACTCCATCACACAAATAACAATGGAAAAGTAACCAATTCCCCCGATATTCTTCTCAGAGGTTGTGTACACAGATGCAGGATGCAAAAATTCATATGACTCTGTCATATCCCAGGTTCACAGTCTACAGCAGGGAAAAATCTATGTTAATGAAAGATTAAGTTGGTCTTTTTCATACTCTTTCTGAATAACGATAAAAGAAAAAAATCAGGATAGGAATATAAATGACATCTCTGACAACACTTGGGAGGTATGTAGTTCACTAGATACTTGAGAGATATATATGCTTTCTGTTAACTTTATGATGATGGGCTGTCTGAACATGCCTACAGTAAGAGTAATTGTTCTAATGCTCTTTCAGCATATATGGGGACAAGGATCCAAACCAGCTGCCCTGTTCTACATCATGCCATTTATCTTCTCACTTCCTCTGAAGATGCATAGCTGTGGAAGCATTTGATGGAAACAAATTAGATTCTTATTAACCAATTCAAAGCCTCAGTGCTAAACCTGAATGGTTAATGCCCTGTGTGAGTTTTTGGAAATTACTATTTCCTCCATGGTTTGAACAGATTTTGTGTGATCTCATAACTCTCTTGCTAGAGTAAATAAAAATTCTTTTTGTTCTTCTTTTCCATTTTTTTAGATACCTATTTCAAACATGCACAGATATTATGTAAAAAAACCTGTCAAAGGTGGGTCTTATTTGTGATTTTCTGTTCTGGTTAACACTAAGCATGACTTTTCTGGGCTTCTTTAAAGAGAAAACCTCCTGCAGTTTGGGTCCCCCTCACACGTGGCCTGAGTCAGGGCCCTGTGCGTACCAATAGATCTTACTGGCCATGGCCCAGTCTCACCTGGGACTTCCACCAACACCCTCTGGCCATGGGCCCAGAGGCTCCATTTAAGCTCAGGACTGGGCTTTCAGTCCTTGTCAGAGCTACATCATCTGTGCACCTGTCTCCAGCTCAGCTGGATCTGGTTTGTTGCTGTGGACTTCCCTGGTGATCCCTGGACCTCACCTGTGGATTGACTTCCCATGCTTGACCTTGGATCTGCTGCATCACCACAACTTTTTCTGGTGATCTGGACTCCTGGTTGACCCCAGTCCCATTTCCAGGCCTGTCTTGTTCACCTCAGTCAGGTAGTGTGGGACTAGGCCCTTGCTATGTTACCATGCTTGGCTTCTTGTCCTTTAGGCAGCAGTTGTCCCTTACTGCTCCCTGGCAGCCTATTCCTTAACCTTTCCTAGCTTCCACATAGAAAACACAGCTTGAGATGATGGATTTTTTAAAAAATACGCTTAAGCATAACAACATACTGTGTGTTTTAACTCAATGCAGAAGCCTTTGCTTTGAGCCCATTGACACAGCTGTGTCAGAGTACTATTATACCCCCTAGCTGTTCAAAACTTATTTTAGTTTTAATAGTTTGTCTTATTTTTCCTGGGCAGACTCACTATATGCACCATATTATCCATACAAAAACTTTGCTGTTACAGCCTCTTACTGACAGTGTCTTTGTGGAATTTTTTGAACTGAAAATGTAAAGATCTTAATGTCTCGGTTTCTACCTATGACACCTAGACAACCCTCCCTTCTGCCACTCCACAATGCAGCTGTGACAGACATTCTCTTAGAAGATGAGAAGCTGCAAAGCTGCATATGAGATTTTTTCAGTTCCAGTTTATTCTATGCATGAATCATTTTAACTTCTTTAGCTCCATGACTGAAGCCAGACTGAAGCCTTAGTACATGCCTGAAGTTAAGAATGGTTTTAGCTATTGCCTTCAATAGGGATAGTCCTTAATGCAGCCTTTTGTGCTTTCCCAAATTGGACCCCTACTGATTAAAATGAATTTTTGAAAAGCCAGTCATAGTTGATGATGTTTTAAAACGGAAGCTGTTTAAGAAGATACTTAAAAGAATAATTGCTCTAATAAAAATTTAACATGTCCGGAAATGACCAAAATTATCACAAGCTGTCTTCCATGAGTTTAACTTTCTTCTTTTCTGTTAGTAAAAGCCAAGATGTTAGAGATTTTCCAGCTTTACCATACAGCGGTGCATTTTTAGATTTGTGGCTAGACTGAGTGATCTTCAGCCAGCATGTGAGCCCACAGTCTTACATTTGGGTTTCTCTTGATTACCACTCCATCACATCTTCTACAGAGTCATCTTTTTTTTCAGTCAGTGCTGGATGGCACTTTCTGAAATGCACGTTAACAGAAACAAAGCAAAAGGAAAAGTAAGTTGCCTAGTCACATGAGGGCATCACACAATGTTACATGAGGTTATTAGTTTTATGTCAGTTTTGGCATACACTCAAATGAAAAGTGGAAAAGACTAGTTAAGGATTGAAGAATGTATGCTGTTTGCCTTCATTAATATTCAACCATGGTTTTTAGCTTCACTATGACATACTCTTGTGAATGGCTAAACAGAACAAAAACCAGTTGCTATGTCCACTGTGCATAAAAACTCATATGACTCTTCCTTATTAATAGGCTTGGAAGATCTTTTGGTGACATCAAGCTTTCTGCTCTGAACCAAGGTGCTTCTAGGAGTGTTGAAAACAAACCTAATTTGTTCTTATTGAATGACACACTCACTGTCATTATGAAAATGAATAGGAAATAATTTTCACCAAGTTTGGGGCATCTAAGAATAGTGCCAGTCCAGCAATATGTCAAAACTGGATAAAGAGTTTTAAATTAAAGAAGACTGTGTACAAATGAAAAAAATGGATTTTATCAATATCTTTCAAACAAAGCAATTTGATATAAACAAGCACAAGAAAACAATTACATTTTAAATATAAGTACTATTTGAGGGTTAAAATTTAGATAACATTAATTGCACTTTCTAAACAGACAATGGCATAGGTTTAACTATCAGTGAATACACATCTTAAAGTAGATGTAAATTAAATACAGTAGAACTGCATTCATTTTCAACAATTCAGGTTCTGGTTTTACTACTTTTCTCACAGATCAAAGCCATTATAATAGCATAAGGGAACCATGAAATAATGTGCTTCATTAAAAATCTTTTATATATCCTACTAATTTCTGTGTAGTCACAAAACTACATACTAATTTTCCAACTTCTGGTCAGAGTAAAGGTAGACATACAAGTAATTCAAACACCTAGGCCTGAAAACCTGAGGCATAAGGAATTGGGAACAGAAGTTGGCTGTCCGTGGAAGGTGTCAAAAATGCTGAGAGTTGTATATCTAATTTGCTTAAATCTCTTAAAAGTCTGATTTCAATGAGATGGTTTCTAGGAAATATTCCAGATTTGGTCTTATGTAAAATGTATGGGCTTGCATAGAAAAAAAAAATCAATATTTCACATATGACATTCACGTATGAAAGGAGATTTAACCTGTAACACTTCATATATTTTACATAAACAAGACTTGTCATTACACTAGCTTAGAATGATGACTTCAAAAGGAAAGCAGAGCTGAAGACACTTGTTACAATAATGATTGTTTTCTTGCACCCTTTCTAAAAACTAGCAAAAGATTTTTGAAAGGGCAAATAAATCAGTTTCAGAAATATCAATGCTGACAACTTATCCTTTTTCAGAATTACTGCTTTTAAAAAAATTTGCCTAAGGAGGCTTCATGAAAAATCTAAATTGTTTTATTAATACTAAAGGATTTACTTGAGAACAATCCAAAACTAAACATAAGAAGCCTCCAGCATAACATCTTTCCAACTTCCTATCTTGTTTCAGTAACAGATGTCAAGTGCCATGAACCAGCCATTTTTAGTTTTTAGGCTGGCAAAATACATTTGTTATATATACATAAATTCTGCCAGTCTAGGATATAGGTTGTATAAAATTGAAGAAAAAGCAATTACCAGAATTACAGTATATGCACAGGACAGAAATGTGGTGAACTACTCTGAATCTCTGGAGGCTTTTGCTGCAGAGGACTAGTAAAAATAACTGAATACAATAATTACAACAATACAATAATTCACACCATCCAACACAGCACCAAATTAAAAAAAAAAAAGTAATATATCAAATTATATAAACAGCGTGATGTGTATTGAGGGCATAATTCATTCATTTCAATTAAGGAAGGACTTTTTATTATATCAGATGGGGATAAAAGTGAATTATGTTGAAAGTAGATGTTGCTTATTTTCGTGTTATAGCTTTCCCTCATAAAAGAAAATGTGAGAGAAAATAAAATATGTTAGAAGGGGTTGGAAATTGTTGAGTGGAAGGAGATAATGAAATCAAAAGCAAAACAAGGACAAGTGTTCAAGGAGGAAGGCATTAACCAGGTCAAAAGTTGACATGAGTGCAGAATTAAGAAATGAGAGCCCTAACATTTCCCATGAAAATAACTCAGTGAATGGAAAGAAATTCGAGGTAATATGTGATGGGAGAATAGAAAGAAGGTAGCTGATGAAGAGAATGAGATTACGCTTTTACAATGGAAAAGCTGTAATACTACTTGTGAAATGCAAAAACCAGGTGGAAATGAGTTCACTGAATAAGGTGACAGGATATTAGGACAAGGGAAGTTCTTCTCTCATTACGAGAGTAAGAGGAAACTTGCAAGGAGAGTGAAGGCATGAAACCCAAGTGCTGGAAGTGGAAAAAGACAAAGTTTTCAGCAATATGAAAAAGGTATATCACAACATACTGGAGAGCATCCAAAAGAGGGCCACAAAGATGATCAAAGGGCTGGAGAACTTGCCCTATGGGGATAGACCTCAAGAGTTAAGGTCTTTTCTCCCTGATGACGAGAAGGGTCAGGGAGGACCTCATCACAGAATTCCAGACCTTAAAGGGCGGCTACAAAGAGGATGGAGGCTCCATCCTCATAAGGTGCCACATGGAGAAGACAAGGGGCAATGGATACAAGTTGCACCAGGTGAGGTTTCATCTTGATATAAGAAAGAAATTTTTTACATTGAGAACAATCATTCACTGGAAGAACCTCTCCAGGAATGTGACAGAGTTCCCATCATTGGAGGTTTTCAAGCTGCTATTGGATGGGGTGCTAGATAACCTCATCTAGGCTCCCTTTCCCACAAAAGTTTGGACCAGATGATCTTTCAAGACCCCTTCCAACCTGGGCTTTTCTATGATTCTTTAGTAGGAGTTACTGACTTTACAATGGTGCAAGTCCCCTATGGAATTCAGATGCTCAACTACATAAACAGATTCCAAAGAGTCATCTATGCCACCAGATTCAACAGGACTTAACAGGAGTAGTTTGGTGGAAATCTGAGGGAAGAATTGAAAACCTGACAATCAGTAACAGAAACTTTCTCTTTGTTCCCTCCATTGTCTTATGAAACTGTACTGACCAACACTGAATTTCCTCTTTAGACTCTGTGCAAGCCTGCACAGCTAATGCACACTAGCGGTGGTTTTCACTGCAAACTGCCAATCCCTGGAATCGCCTATAAGTAAACACAAGTAGCAGCAGTAAAATCTTTCTAAGCGAGCTCATAGAAAAGTGTCATCCTCATTATTCAACATCTCAACAAAAGGCATTGGCAACATGGAAATAGCTGGTTTTATAAAACTGAGATTTAGAGATGAGCTATCTTTATTTGAATGCAGTAATTGCATGGTATTTTAAGAGAGTATTCTTTTTATTTTACCAAAATGCATAGTCCACATTTTTCTTACATGCTGTTATGGGAAGACGGCACTTAGCTTTTCTAATAGTCAAACATGGCTTTGCAGAACAGAACATTATTAATAATTAAAAATAGTGATTAGAAAAAAACTAGAAGGAAGAATTTTAGACTATTTTAAAATGTGGCCTCTCTGTGGTATATATTTTTATACTATGTTTTAAGGTCTCAAGTAATAGAAAAATCATACAAAGGTAACACAAGTAATCTGAAATCCACTGCATGCCGTTCTATTTTAACTCAGCAATTCACACCGAATTCTTTCAGTGCAATAAGAATGAATTCAGGAAAATAAATATCCAAGGAGGAATATGGATTTAATTGTTATTGCTGTTACATTGCTAAAATAAAACAGCTGTGATCACACACTCAGATAAAGCCATTGTTCAACAAATATTTTTATTAAACATCTCTGTAGTGAGGATGAGTCCAGCTCCCCAAGAGCAGAGCAGAGTGCTTCCTGGACCACCCATTGCTCCCTAGGTAAAACAATTCATCCAGCTGTCGGGGGGTGGGAGGGAATTTGATCAGACACACTGGACGCTGTGGCAGTTATGGAGCAACTCATGTTTGCTCACTGACATATTAAACTGTAACAACTGTATTTTAACATTCAAGTAAATAGACCAGAATCTTTTTTTCCAAATCATTAATTTGACCATTAGCTAATGACAGCAACAGTGTTTCTTAAATGGCATCTTCCCAAAAAATAACAATGAACTGCATAGCCCACAGCAGAGTATTCTCAGAAAACTAAGGTCAGCTGATTACAGGAGGCAATGGGGGAAAAGCAGGCACATAGGAAGGTCAGAGGTACAACAGGAGCAGTCAGGAAAATAAATTGGCCACGGTCGTACAGCAAATAAACTGTGTGTCAGAGCTGTGAATAAAATCCAGAAGTCCCAATTCCTTGTCTCTCTGCTCTATTGCCCCACTCCTAACCAGATCCACTCTCAAAATGACTTTCTAATATAGACAGTTCAGGAGACTGAAACATTTTTCCTATTTACAAAACAAATGTAGAAAAAGGTATATAAAGGTTTCCTTCACACAGGAACTCCACCATTTATGTTATGGCCAGGAAGACTTTGTTAATAAATATCATATATTTCCTCCGGGTCAGCAATCAGAATATCTGAGCCTGCAGAATTTGTCATTAGTCTATTTAAGAATTGGTGTCAGTGTATTTTCAAGAATTATTCACACTTAAATGAGTCACCTTTTACAGGGGTGTTTCCTTCAAGTTCTGCCATCAATCTGTGTTTCTTAGACGTTAGGGGTGTTAGAGGAGTTGCAAAAGGAGAAGACCTTTTCAAGCACAACATTTATAAATATCCAATATTGGTTGAGACTTAGAATGGTTTTCTGTTTCAGTAAAATAATAAAAGTCTCATATTCTGACCAGACAGAAAATAGCCAAGGAAAGTATATCGGTTCATAGTCATGACATTTTCTATGTAAAAGAGCCACATAATCTACCGGAGTAGATATGATAAAGACTTAAAATTGTGAAATTGTTTCTAATTTCTAATTGTAAACGTGCACTGTTTACCACAGGATGTGCAGTGTGGTTTTTCCAGTTTTTCAGCAAACCAATTAAGCAGCTAGTCTTATCTAAGACTTAAAAGAGCCAAACAAAAAACAGATTTAGGATGGGCACCAAATTACTGAAGTTGAGCCATTTCAAAGTGTATTAATCAGTTTTCCTAATAGCATATCAGGCACTGAATACAAGCGCTCAGTTTTCATTTAAGGCTTTATCAGCCACTTGGAACATGGAGTTCATGGGTCAAGTCTTCAGTGGTGCAAATTAGAGAAGTCTTCCTGTAATCCACAATTATACAAGGTTAGAACTGGTCTAAATATTTAAGATGCCTGTTTTAAATTACCTGATTGTATTTGCATTTTGGTGAGATATCTGTATGCTTACTAATTGAACACAGAGTTTTTTAGTCTAGAAAGTCTGCTTCATAAAATGTAGGTTTTTCTTCCACTTTGGCAAGTATTGTCTTCTATGGTAGAGGCTTCCATCTAGTGGACACCTTCTCTGATGCTTTATTTGTAAAGTTTTGGCAATTTAACGGAACAGTTGTACAATACATCCAATATAATGTATTTGCTTTCTGATTTATAATAATTAAAAGAAAATGCCTGACAGGACTTAATTAGTGCCTTTAAAATTATTGCCGCAGTCTCAAGACCAGTTACTTCAAACTGGAATACAATGTAAAACTGTTTAACAAACTTAGGTATGTAAACAGCAAAATCATGTCCTAAAAAACTAATTATTGATTCACTAGTTCAGGGAATAGATACAAAGACAAGACCAGTGTTGTTCTGTATTGACTGGCTGCTGTTTTAGCAAGCTATCAGTGCTGGTCTACCTAATCTCCAGGCTGTTTGTATGGGCTACACTTAGTGGCTTTTTCAGTATCCTGTTATTTAGAGGAGGGCAATAGATTGATAACCACCTTGCTTGGTGCATTGTTTTCCTCAAAAGATTCAACTTTAAAAAGATGTATTTGGGGCTCCTATATGGAACAAATACATACCCACTTAAACTTTTTTGTTCTTTCCTATGGGAGTATGAGCACATAATTTACAATGGAGAAATCATCTAAGGATGCCAATTGGCTAAATTCTATTTTCATTTCTATTTTTCTATTTCTATATTCTATTATTCAGCAATTGTCTGACAAAGGGCTGCCTTAGCATGAAGCTTTCACCTGTGAATTTTTCTTTCTTCAGAATGTGACAATAAAAACATTTATTGTAGCCGTAACTTTCATAATGCCCACTACTAATTGAGACCACTAACACATTTATTGGATTTTCAAGTACTTGCCAGGTGATAGTGGTATGTCTTTACTATTGCAGTTCTATGGAATTTACTGAGAATACTAAATTCATTCAAATAAATATGATCTGGGAAGTAGTTTTCTGAGTTTCAGAGAGAGTAAGTAGAGGCTTCTTGAATCAGCTTAAAGTTAATTGAAATTGTATGTTTTTCCCAACACTAAACTTTTCTCTTCCAAGTCTCCCAGAATTCAAAAATCTACATTTTTCCCATGTGGGCTGTTGACCTCACTATTTCTCATGAATCCTTTCATAAAATTTTGGAGGCCACATGCTGGCCTGTCTGACATTTTCCATCTATGGGGATTTTAGTAGAACACACCTATTTTCCCAGTCAATTAGAGGGATCTCATTCCAGCTGAACAGATGCCGACATCACAAAGAAATGTCACAACAGTCTCTTTTGTTGTCAGTTTCTCTAAAGAGAAATCAGTACTTGTTAAGAAAATTTAATATTAATATAACTATAGAATACATGCATATATATGCATGCACCTTTTATGAATGAAATTTTTCTGCTCTTTCTAAAAGTGGACTCTAGTCAAAAAGTCACTGCTCATTTGTAGCTCAGACAATACTCCCAATGCAGCAAAAACTCAGAAATAAAGTCAGTGGGAGGGATTTTCTGCGATATTTTTCTGAAATAGAATTAAACAAGACTTAAGAACTGGGCCCAGTTCAAATCAGATCAAACAGCATGGTGCCTAAAGGAGACACAAAGATTTGCAAGGTCCAGCGTATAATTTATCAAAATGTGAGTAATGTGGAATCAAACTTGCCTCAGGTAAACACCTTAGGGATTTATAAAAGCAATTTACATAACAGAAGTGGTCTTCTAATAGACAGAACCAAACCATACATACTACACTTGAGAATATTTTAAGGTGGCCTGTTCAAAGAGAGGGCTGCCTAGTATGTGTGATCTGCAGTCAAGGTTTCCCTATACAAACATTAAGCATGCAAAAATTGCATAAAATAGAGAAGAACAGAGCATTTACAAAAAGGGCAGAGCTAAGTTGGGTGCTACAGATCATATCAGATATGCACAAAAAAAAATATTTCTTCATTGTAATTTCGTAACTATGCTCAGTTAAGATTGCTGGAATTGTAAAGTGAGATAGTGCCAATAATTAGCCCCTTCATTAGAAAGAGGTTTAAAATAAGTAGTCTCACCCCTACTGTTGATTTTAGCAAAACTGTACTGAATTCTGTTTAAATGTGGAAAACTACATGAGATTCAACAAACAAATGTGAAACCTCTATGTATCTTTTTTTTCCTGCAAATAATTAGGAAAAAAAATTATTTAAATCCTAGAACTAGTCATATAAAGCTGTAGGTGTGATACATGGGCAATTGGTACGAGCAATATTGCAGCACTTAGTATTCTATCATGGCATCATCCTCTCAGGGCTCTCTAGAGCACCAACATCCTTTCAGGGCAGCTAAATTACACAGGGTTGAAACACTCAGGAGAGGGGAAACATACAAACTGGACTGGGAGTCGTCCTCCCCCCTTTTCTTTCTCCTGCTTTTCTCCACAAGCAATGTATGTTTGCTTGAGTTCCCCAGCAGGGCCGCTGTTCACCTTCCTTTTGGCAGCTGGAATAAGGAAGGGAGAGTATCTCTGCTCAAGCAATAGCCATCACTGTTTAATGGTATGTTTTTTGTTCACACTTCCTTTCAATGGTGGATTTTGTTGAGGAAATACTCTGGATTTTTGAACACAAGTTACTACCAGCTAGGAAGGAGTGTTTTACACTAGGAATTAGAAAAGCAAGGCTTTTCACAAGATAGGGAGCTCACATATGTAAGGTAGGGAAAATGATGGAGAATTAGTAGAAGGAAGGTATTGCTAACTGCATAAAATGGGGGCCAAGGAGCCTCGAGGCATTGAGTTCCCAAATAGTACTACTATTTAATGTATCATTGAAGGTTGTGGATATGCCCATTACTCCACTTGGAAGAGCATTTCTGCATTATCCCAAGTGTTATCAGACACGATCTGTAGAGCATTTGTAAGACTATAAAGAAACAAGAAAAATCTTCTTTCAATAATGTGCCTTCTCCCCAAGAAAACACTAAACTAGTTGAATTAATAAAATGTACCCAATCTGGTAAGAACATTCTGTAACGTTGTATGCAAGCTGGCTTTAGCTTATTTTGTGAGTAGGATTAATTTTTATAAATCTAAGACTTTCATGTTAATCCCTGATAATAGTGCAGTTTGGTACACTAAAATAATCAGATTACAGTGAATGTCAGCACGATTTGATTTTAAATGATGTGAAGCGTGTTACTGGAACTATCACCCCCTCATTTTATGAAAGAATGACCAGGAAGAATGTCAGACAGGGTTCACCATGTCTCAACAGCTGCAGACCTCTACTTCAAGTCATCTTTAAAAATATGGCTTTGTTTATTCAAATACTGATTTTTTTGACAGCAAGTTAGCATAAGAATTTTAAAAAGATGTGGACTTTATCACAACAATGGATGCGCAAATATTGTGTAAGAAACTGGTACAGAAAATTACCTTCTACACCTATATCACTGAATTACCACCTGCTACAACCAAATATGTTTTATGTTTCCAATTAAAAAAAACCCACTACCCCACCTACCTACCTAGTCCTTCCCAATAATTTGATTGATGAGCTTCCTTTTTGCATCTCCCTCGTTCCCCATATCTTTTCTCTGATTGGTTGCAGCAGGGCTCATGCCTATTTTATTTCTGGTTAATCTCATTAAGAACCTGGGATTGTGATGTCAGTGCATTAGTAAAAGGAAATAATGCTTCCTGTAGGAAGGATGGCAATTTTGACCTTTTAGAAGCAGGTCATGATCTGACTGCAAGATGAAAATAGCACAAGGCAAACTGCAGTAATAATACCAACTCATTCTCCGATAGCATAGTTCAAAGTAAGATTATGGCTCATGGACTGCAGGTAAGAAAGCATAATGCATATTTGGTTATTTGATTGAAGGGAACTTTAGGTGTGGGGGAAGAGGTCAGCTTCAGCAAAACCAGTAGAACATTAGAAGTACTGGCTAATGAAAGGCCTTATTTCTTATATTTACTCAGGAGAAAAATTGGCTTTCACAACAGAGGTATCTTAACAGACTTTTTTTTTTTTTTTACAAAATTATGACATTACTTATTTGACTTTAATATATTAATATTCTTTCATTCTGTGCTGATGAAACAATACTTATTTACAAATCTATTGTACAAAATTGCTGTAGTTCATTTTGTTGTTTTTTCCACCTTAAACTCAGAAACCTACATCAGTAAATAAACAACAGATGAGACTGAATCTAAATTAAACAACTAATTCCTCAAGTTATAAGCTTATGATTTAAAAATTTAATGACTTTGTGTGATAGTTTAGTAGATTGCTTTATTATAATGGGAAGTTGTTGTATTATTTAGCATGTGCCACAACAAATGCTTTTATGAGCCTGTAAGGTATATGCAGCATGTTGCTATGGTGATGTGGTGCTCAAACTGAAGCAATCCTTAAGGTTCTGCTCATGAACCTTTCAGCAGACCTTAAAAAAAATGCTTCACACATGGCAACAAACAAGATATTAAGGTAGCAGACATTGTTTGCATAAAATAGTCTCAATGAGCACAGTTGTGAACCAAATAAAAGGTACTAAACTGCACTGTTGGAGTAGCTATAAGCAGCAATCACTATGTACACCTGTATGCTGCAAGATTAGCTTTATTCAACGGTTATATTAACATGGACAAAGCTCATCCCTCACTTGAGCTGATCCAGTTTCCATTCCTCTCATCAAATGCAGCAGGAAGCTAAATTAATTGGCAACAAGGCTGAAGTTTAATTTGCTGTGCAGATGAAAGCCCAAATTATAACTCCAAAAGCAAATTGTAAGGCTGAAGCCCATTAAATATGGCAATCATTATCATGACTGGGCAAAAGAAAAACTGCTCAAGTGGCAGGTAGCATAGTCATTGCACTTAAGCTGTAGTTACGCAGAATGTAAGAGAGATGGGGATCTTGCAAAAACAAACAAAAAAACCCAAAACCCAACACCAAAACAAACAACCCACCCTACAGCACTTCTTAAACTGTTTATTGTGTCAGTGACTACCCTTAAAGATGCTTTTTCTATATTCCAAATGAAAACAATGCTTATGTGTTCCAGTAGTCTCAAATAAACAGTCTTGCAACTTTGACCAATGCTTCTAATGATGTCCTATCGTCACTGCTTCTTGTTGACAGACTCCCATATCCTGTATATGCATTCTGTCTGTCACCACTGGCAAACTCACACAGGCAGAAATTAGCCCATTTCAAACTGGCCAAATAGGCTAATATAACACTCAAACAACAATAAGCAGTTCTGATCTACATTAAAGCCTGCTCATAGATGCTACTGCCTAGCCTCATCTATAGCTGATAATAGTGTTAACTGCCGGTATCTCTTCCAAGATTAATAAAGCACAAAGAAACTTAATTTAAAAACAATCCTTTACCTAAGCTTTTGCTTTGGCGACTTCAGCCACAAAGAATATAGTAACTAAACCAGGCAAAATAGTACAGCTGACACTCTAAACAATGCTCAACTGCAAGGCTATTCTGTAAGTCTAACTTGGAACATCAAGGTCTATCAATTTTGAGTACTTGCAGAATACAGTTAGTTCAGCCAGGGTGAGATTCTATAAGCATTGCCTTGTACTACGATAATCTGTTCTTAGAAATTCTTGTTAACACCTGTCTCTCTAGTTGTATCTTTAAATGAAGTAGGCTACTTGTGGCCAATTTAAAATAAACAGCAATAACTGGTTATCTCATTTTTGTGGCTGCTGTGAGTTTTGCAAGTAATAACCCACTCTTGTTCCTGACAGTCCATTTTTCCTTTTTTCCCAAGCACTCATTTCTCCTAAGCCAAAAAAAAAAAAGAGAATTAAAAACAATTCATCTGTCTAAAGAGTTGCAGGTGTTAACTTCTTTGTTAGCAATACTTTATGCTTCTACTGCCTAGTTCATAGCTCTGTGCTGTCCATTAGCAAGCCACTGTACTGAATTCTGTTGAATGCAACTGGTGTGTAGATAACCTATTTTGCACTAGTGAAGCTTTAAGCCAGCTTTGAATTTTTCTTTCAATTCATTCTGCATTTTTTTAACAATAACAGGGCAATATTAGATGTGACAAAATCAAATTTGATGTTTTTCTGAATTTATTTCTGATACTTACATATTAGCCCTCTTATTCACAATTGTTTCTACCTCATTATATATTTTCTTGCCTGCTTTTGTACCACCATTTCATAGATGAACAAAGACCAAAGCATCCATTATGGTCTTGAAGGGTGGTAGAATCCAAGGATGGAGATCTGTTTGGGGCTAAAAGACTAGTCAGAAGAGAAGCCCAAATGGAGAATAAGTAACTTCTAGACATCCAGACACCTCTGGGTGCAACAGCCTGGAGCCAGCGTGTTGTAAAAAGAACCATAATTCTAAAGACTGAAGGCAAAAGTGTTAAGCCCCTGATCTATGGGAAGTAGCTATGGCATCTCCCCAACCGTGCTGAGGAGCAATCTGCTAGCAGGGCTGAACTGCAGCTCAGCAGATCTCTAGTTCCTGCCTATGGGCACCCTCTGCAGCTTCTTCTCTTCCCACTACCACCTCAAAGCTTCTTCTTTGGGTTAAGTCGCCTCCCTTGTCCTCTGAGACAGCTGATGGTTGGTATGTGCTTACCTCTGTCAAAAGTTCAGTTGTGAATTCACACTTTGGAGACAGACTTTTCTCTTTTACACAATAGAAAATGATGGTCAATTTAGTACAGTGCCCCAAAGTCACGTTCTGACTAGAGATCAAGCTGTAATCCCAATCTACTTGTCTTAAATTTTAATTTTTGCTTGTCTACCACACAAGCAAGCTACTGTGCTTTGCAGAAGGGGAAATGGAGAATGTAAAAGGGGCGGTGTGTGTGTGTGTTCTTGTTTTGGGTGTCCTTTATGAGTTGATGATGGTTGAGAATTTCTCTTATAAAGACTGGGGCAAAGTAGTTCTCTATCCATTTACATCTCAGACAAGCACGGTAGCTCCTGAGTTATCAGACAGATTGTGAAATGTTCGATAGAAAATTCAAAAACTCTCAGGCATATTTTTATTCTGACACATTATTGGGGGTGTGCGGGTGGGCAGAGGAGTCTTTTTCTTCATTATCAGAGACTGGAAGTTTTTTTCCTGTGTGGCTCTGTCTTTACTATTAAAGCTATTTTCCTTTCACTTGCAGATAAGAGATGAAGAAAGTGGCTATAACAAAAATCTATTTTGCATTCCTAAGCATTATGAAGAAGATTTAGAAACAGTCTTCATTCCTCATGGACTCATCCTGGACAGGTATGAGACTAAACAATAAAGAGTAGTGATAGTGATGCCAATGATCCATTTCCCTCCAAATGAAGACTGAGGCCCTACCCTGCATAGCCCATGAGGAACATGGTAACCCTGCAGCCACAACACTTGTGTTCTGGAGTTTTATGGAGATGATTCCTCTACAACTCCAGTTAAGTTTCCACGTTATCTCAAATATCTCAAGCTTTCCTATCCTGCACTGTTTAGAGATATGGATGCAATGAAAAGTATGTTTTAAACTGAAAGATGGTAGATTTAGATTAGATATGAGGAAGAAATTCTTTATTGTGAGGGTGGTGAGATAGTGGAACTGGTTGCCCAGGGAAGCTGAGGATGCCTCATCCCTGGAGGTGTTCAAGGCCAGGCTGGATGGGGCTTTGAGCAACCTGGTCTAGTGGGAGGTGTCCCTGCCCATGGTAGGAGGGTTGGAACTAGATGATCTTTAAGGTCCCTTTCAACCCAAACCATTCTATGACTCTGTCAAGAGGAGTAAGCATCATCTTGTGAACTGCAAATATGTAACTAACTTTGCTATGTCTTACTGTGGTCACAATTTGCTGGTTATAAAAACCTAACAGCAAGATCAGATTAACTTGGACATTGCTTAATATATGGACAAACAAATATGATATACAAAATACTTACACAAGATTTGTTTTTATTTCCTTCCAGGACAGAACGTTTGGCTAGAGATATCATGGAAGATATGGGAAGCCATCACATTGTTGCACTCTGTGTCCTTAAAGGAGGCTATAAATTCTTTGCTGATTTGCTGGACCATATAAAAGCACTAAATCAAAATGATGACAAATCTGTGCCTATTACTGTGGATTTTGTTAGAATAAAAAGCTACTGTGTAAGCAATTTTGTTTTCTTTGCAAAATTGACTCTCCCCATAGATTGACATTCTGAATACTGGTAGTCTACATGAGAACCCCCTCAAAAATTGAGTTTATGCATATATCCTGTTCAGCGCAACTCAATTTATTACATACTGAAAAGCAACTGATTTATTGATCTGCCCTAAAGATTGCATGGATATTGTATATTCACTAGAATGAACACACAGCAGAACACTTAACATGATAAAGCCAGGGTCAGGTCTCCAACATCCTCCTCTCAAGCCCAAAGCTTTCATACAGGTTCTACTCTCTTTACCATGGCACCCTTTGGCGGGAGGGGACATGGAGAAGAGCTTAGCATCAGAGACTTGCTTATTGTCTCTCTCTGGATTATTTTTCATTCCTACAGATAATATTGGAGACTTGTTTTCATAATCTGTGTGTTGGGGAACAGGTATCTTTTGCCTGAACCAACCATAGTTGACCTGAGCCGAAAAATGTAAAGCAATGACTTACGCTATTTTTTTTCTGGTTTATTTTCTCCCCTCTTTGAAGGCTAGAGCTCTGTGCACTGATCAGCATTTAATCCATGCTAAATACAACAGTTTATAATATCCTATAACTTTTTTCATGGACTTCTGAACTAAATCTGTGGTAACAAAAATAGCTGAAAGCAATGGTGTCTATTCCATGAATACGGATGTACTCTTGTTCCATGCAAACATCTGTCTGCACTGATACTTCACTTTCTCCTCTTGCTCTCAGCTACTTAAAAGCTGTTTTACTGAAAGAGTGCTGTGTAAAGTTGCAAGTTGATAGAGGAAAAGCAAGAGCAGCACACTACTCATATACATACAAGATAATGCTTTTTGAGCATGTTTTATGTGACTTCCCTCTCTCCTTTCTCCTTCTAGAATGGTTCGCCTACAGAAAAAATCAGTATTGTTGGTGAAGAACTGTCTACACTAAATGGGAAGGTATGAATTAGCATTTTCAGCTTTTAAGGGGAATGAACAGTTCTTACCTGTATCTTCCAGGAAGTCCATCTTTATTAAGATTTTGATACTATGTATTTACAGCCACTTAACACTGGTTTAAAATGCCATGCTTTGAAACAGCAAGTAATTCCCACTGATCTCAATGGAAACTTAATATGATCAATACTGAATGCTTCTAAAGATTCTACTCTACACTTTTATTCCTCAACCCCCAGAAATGAACCATCTTAAACTGACTCATGCGGTATGGTTCTAGAATGCTATCGCTATACATAGAATAATATATAAAATGTGACACAGGTGGCTTTCTCACAATATTTTATGCTTCCATAAATACTTAGAGAAAGACTCTTCAGAAAGCACTAAAATAATTTAAGTAAAGTGACAAGCTCCTTTGAAAATCAATTGCAAATTACTTGTAACTGAAATTTGTAGTGAGAACTTTTCCAGTGTATAATTCACTGAATGTGGCCATGTAAATATTTTCTTTTCTTTCTCTCCCTACATGATCTTTTCCAGAATGTGTTAGTAGTAGAGGTAAGTAAAGGCTGGAGTGTGGGGATGGGGAATGACATGGACTTTTTCCTCCCTGTTTTGCAAGTTAATACCTATTGCATATAAAACAACAATTAATTATGTTACTGTGTTGTCAGGGATGCTGACTGGGTTTTATGCTTTAAATTAATCTACTGACAAACTGTTTTTTCTTTCAGACTCAGAGGATAATTTTTTTTCATCTCTTTCAGGACATTATTGAGACTGGTAGAACAATGAAAGCGCTACTTTCAAAACTAAAAGACAACAAACCAAAGATGGTAAAAGTTGTGAGGTACAGTGATATGGCCACTTACTAATGTATTGTAACAAGAAGATACAGCAAAATAATTTAGGTGAAAAGTCAGTGTATGCTGGTGGGTGTTTGTTTGGGTTTTGTGTGGTTTGAAGTTTGGGGGAAGAGGAAGAAAAAGCAGGAAGCAACCCTTATCCAGCTGGTAAAAAACTAAGTATTAATTAAATTGGAAAATTTACATATGCCCCACCATCTTCATTGTTAAAATGAATAAAAAATGTTTCCTGGCTCTTTCTGCGTAGTCCATAAAGTCTGATGGATTCCCTGTTTTTTACCTCCTTATGTTTAAAGGAAATTTAGCTCTTTCCATAGGTTTCCTAACACCTTCTCAGTTGTCTCAATACTACAACGACAACACTCGTTTTTCAACAACACTAATTTTTCTTAATATTCTCAGTAATACAGGTTTTCAGGTCATACAGATTTTCAGAATCTAAGAGTTTGTCAGCACTTGCAAGATGACTTCGAGATCTGCTTTTAGATGACCTCTAAAAGGAATTTTTTTAGAATATCCCTGTCTTTGTCAAGTAATTGTGATGCTTTGAAAAAACACTTCTTGGCTTATGTACCAGTTATGCTCCTCCTAGTGACTGTTCAGGAGGTTCTCAGTTTCTTCAGAAGTGCACAGGAAAAGCAAGAATGGATATGATTTTGTGGAAGAAATCATAGTGATGTTGCACAGCTTGTCCTTTTCTCCCTCGCTCCCTGCCAAAATCTTTACATGCCACTTTAAGTTGCTTGCCTGTACATGCTGTTTTAGTATGCTGATACGTCGCTACATGAAAAGATAATGATTTGGGATACAGAATTGAAGAGAACTAAATGTAAAACAACAGAGTCATTTGGGCCTTCAGAATGAACCTAGATCAGAGCCTTCACTTATTCCTCAATTATAAGGCTGAACACTGCTTCTTTCTGTTACAATAATCTCATTGTTTTAATTTAACTGCATGATTGTAGAAGTTCATGGGCAGGGGTGGGAGAAGTGAAGAATACAACTTAGAGCAAGACATAGTTTTAAAAACATAACCTTTTCTGCTCTGCCTTACAGCCTGCTCGTTAAAAGGACACATCGAAGTCCAGGTTACAGACCAGACTGTAAGTATTGCATTTTTTCTGGTTGTCCAAAATACGATCTCATAATTTCACTTCATGCAGTGAGTTTGAAAACTGGCTCATATGTTTCAGGAAGGCCAAGAGAAATGGGGAGAAAATACATAAAAACTTGTAAACTGACAACCAGCTACCCCATGCTGAAACCTCACGACCACCTTTTGTTTTTTTCCCCCGGTTGGTCTGAATGCAAGTTTGGCTATTTGTTACCAGATAATAGAATCAGACCTTAAAATTGTATTGTTTGCCTTTGACCCTAAAAGGCATTTTTTTGACTCTGCATTAAACTTGCCTCATTTTCAAACTGAAAATCCCTACTAAGTTGCAGTGCATCTACTTTCACACAAGTAAAATCTTGTTCCTTGTCTCCCTCTCCCGCAACTACCTCATAAATAGCTTTTAAATAATTATTTTGCTCTTAAAACACATTCTCTTAACATTTTAATTGTATTACTAGCTGATGGGGATGGTATAGATTCTAATCTCTGTCATCAGTTGACAGCTCTGATTCTTAAAGAAGCATGCTAAGTTCCTTGAAAGCAAGATGATATATTTGTTAGGTATGGCTCTTAAATAGTTGAAGAAAGTGTTGAATACAAACTGTGTACTTAGAAGCTACCACCCAAGAACAAAAAAATTGTGTTTTGTTACAGATATAGGCTTTGAAATTCCAGATAAATTTGTGGTTGGATATGCTCTGGATTATAATGAGTACTTTAGAGATCTAAATGTAAGTACATACACGTGTACCTCAATTGTTACCTATATGACTGTTACCACAGGTAACCAGAAAGAACGTTAGATTATACTAGGAGCTTCTCAACAATTAACAACACTTCAAATCTGACTAGAAACTTCCATTAAAAGGGCAAAACCACTGTTAACACGCAAGCTGATAATTCCATGTAAATGCATAAGAACTTGTTTACGCTTTACCTTTTCATGACTCTACTCCACAAGTCTTGTGGCCCAGATGTGCTGTACGATATTCTGAATCCTCCAGGATGGCTGGCAGCATAAAATATGCTGGCCCCATCTGAAAAGAAAGCAACTGGTAATTTGGCTTTAATTTGATGTTTGTCTGTCCTAGTGAAATCCTATGTTGGTCTTTTCTAGCCAAGTCTTTAAGATGGCTGTGTGTGGCCTGTGTGTGAACATTTTTCCTACACTGTATAACATGTCCATCAAGATATTTTTTTCCTTTGTTCCATTACAGTCTCCTTAGGCTGCACTGAGTAGTAGACTTGGAAAGAGCATAACTGATAGAAAGAGCTGATCTTTTTTCCCCTCCTTAGTTTAAAAAGTACTTAAATCTGGGTAAGTGGAAAAGTTTTTCATTTGAAAGTCTTTTTAACAAGACAAACCAGTTCTGTTAAAGACACATAGAATCATAGAATGGTTTAGGTCGGAAAGGACCTTGAAGATCATCGAGTTCCAACCCCCCTGCCATGGGCAGGGACACCCCCCACTAGACCAGGTTGCCCAAGGCTACATCCAGCCTGGCCTTGAACACCTCCAGGGATGGGGCCTCAACAACCTCTCTGGGCAACCTGTTCCAGTGCCTTACAACCCTCAAAGTAAAAAACTTCTTCCTAATGTTTAATTTAAACCTGCCCTCTTCCAGTTTAAAGCCACTCCCCCTCGTCCTATCACTAAATGCCCTAGTAAAAAGTCCTTCTCCAGCTCTCCTGTAGGCCCCCTTTAGGTACTGGAAGGCCACAATAAGATCTCCCCGGAGCCTTCTCTTCTCCAGGCTGAACAGCCCCAACTCTCTCAGCCTCTCCTCACAGGAGAGGTTCTCCAGCCCTCGGATCATCCTTGTGGCTCTCCTCTGGATATGCTCCAAAAGGTCCATGTCCTTCTTATGTTGGGGACTCCAGAGCTGGATGCAGTACTCCAGGTGGGAGTACATACAGGATCTATGCTATTGCAAAGCAATATGAAGAAGGATACAGGATGAACAAACCTGACCTCTTCAGAACATACAAATCTATAAATTACAGATGAGCTTAGAAGCAATCTAAACATCTCAAGTAGTAAACTTGCAACCAAATTTGCAAAGACTACTCTTCTGGTGTATTTTTGTTACAATGCCAGGAATACGACTGAAAATCATTCTTGGATTTTCTCTGAAGGTAAAGATTGACTAAAGTTACTAATGTTGTACTACTTTTTTTTTTTTTTTTTTTTTTTTTTTAGCACATCTGCATTCTGAAAGAGAAAGCCAAAGAGAAATACAGGATCTGATCACATCAGTCTTCTGGAACAATAGTTCAGTGGCATGTGCAGCTGTGTGGATGAATAATAAGTAGTAATCTACTAATTGTGCTCTTTTCACTGAAGAACTACAACATTTTCCGAAGATAGTATTCTACATATTTTTTCCTTTAATGATTATTTAAAACAGCTTAAAGGTGAATTAGTTCTCTTCAAACTTCATTGAAACCTGAAGAGAACACTGGCCATAAAATGAGTATTTTATTCTGCTGGAATCAGCAGGGACACAGCCAGGACCTGTACATGTGTATGTAATTAGTTTGGTTTTAACTTACTATATGAAGTAACACATTATACATACTGTACATAAACTGCACTTGTTTTTACATGTGTGCCTGTGTGTAAATATATACACGTGTACTTTCTGTAGCAAATAGCCTGAATAAGCATTTAAGGACTTGAGATTAAGTCAACTGTACAAAGTGCATACCACATGGAAAATGAATTTGGTTCTTTTAGCTTAACGCAATGAAAACATTAACATCGGGTAACATTAATGTAACTACACTAAGATTAGTTCTTACACATTTCATGTAACTTGGGGTGTTGTCTTTATTTTTTGAGAGATCCAGGGTTGATTATACCATTGTGGTGTTACTTGAACTGCAGGTTAACACTGATTACTAGCTGTTAAGACTAGGTGATAAACCATTCTAGCAGGAAATTACTTCTGTCCCTAATGAGAACTGGCATTTTCCCACCCAGAAACTGTACCAAGCTGGAGGCAGTCTCTGACACCTCACTGTTCCCAACCTGTATTAAATGATTAAAATAAGCTCTGACTCCTTGGTGGGTTTGGTTTTTTTTTTTTCTGATTGTGAATTAAGAGCACCGAACTAGGGTCTCTCGATGTCCTTTAGTTTTTAAGAGCCCTGGGCTGCAGGCGGCCAGGCTCTGACAGGGGTGCCGTGCCGCTTTCCAGAGCCCCGAGAGCCGCAGGCTGTGGCCTGTCACGCCATCCGCCCCTCAAAGCGGGTGAGAGGAAGAACTCTAGAGTCTGTACAGACGGATCCCTTACCTACAGCAGCGGGAACGGCTCGTACTGGAG